GGTGGGCTTGGCAGTGCTGGGTTAATGGTTGGACTTGATCTTAAAGGTCTTTTCCAACCTAAATGATTCTATGATTCATAGAGAGAAACCTCCCCTTTGTTTCAGCCCAGCACCATGCTGGGAAAGCACTTCCAGGGGGGTGCCCCACTGCAGCATCCCTACCCCCTCCCATCTGCTTTCCTCATTGCTCCTCTTTTTCTCTGCCCTCTCTGCAGCATGGCTGGCCTCTGCAAGCAGCTGCTGTGCTGCACACCAGGGACTCTTGGGACAGTGCAGGCAGCCCCTGGGGCTGGAGCCCACATGCAAGGCAGGCTGTGTGCCATCCTCTGGCGTGACTTGCCACTGGAAAGGGCTAGTATCTAAGAAGTACATGCAGGTCAGCGGGCATCCCTTGCTTGCCCCAACCCCTGCCTCCTCCCAGCCTTACCCAGGTGCTCTTTTGGCATGTCAACCTCCAGTGCTGCTTTCCTGTACTTCTCTTCAGCTTGGCTTTCTGCAGCCAGAGGGAAGAAGGAAGGGATAGAGTGAAGAGCATCTCTTTAAAGGGGCTTGGCCCAGGGATACCAAGGGCTGTCAAATGGCCCAGGGGAAGCCTGCCTTGGGATGTTCGCCGCAGGAAATCTTGGCTGGGACACACCTCCAGCTCAAACACAGGCAGGGCACCAGGGCTGCATTTGTGCAAACACCTGTCAGACAGAGTCAAGGTGTAGCCGGTTTTACTTGAAGCGGCTGCCCTGGAGAGATGCACTCTCATTTGGGACTGAGGGCTGGGATTTACAGTGAAGATGGGGCAGTAGCCACAGTGCATAGACGCTCGGGGACCCCTTGCAAAACCCCACCTGAGACATTCTTCTAGCCTGGTGCATGCTTCCACTTTCAGAGGTGCATAGGAGAGGCTGGGGCCTGGCAGAGCCACCCTCTTTGACCTCCCCCCTGGATCCTGCTGGGCTGGAGGGTGCAGTGGGATGCAGGGTGCTTTGGGCAGGGCCCTGGACCGCCCTGTCTCCTGTGTATCATCAGGCATAACTGTGCTGCTGCCCTGGCACAAGGTGAGCAGGGCCGGGGGAGATGCAAGAGCTGCAGCCAGGCTGTCCCATGGGGCCCCGGTGCAATCCTTCGCCCCATTGCTCCCAGCTCCCTCTTCCAGGAACCCCCACGATGCCTGCCCTCGCTGGGGCTGGGAAGCAGCAGGGGAGGGACAGGAGAAGCACATTCCCGCTGGCCGGCGGGCGACCAGACCCCAGACACACCCGCCATGCTGCCTTTTCCTGCTGGCTGGAGGGAGACAAGACCCCAGACTCACCCGCTATGTTTCTCTTCTGCTGCTGCTTCACTCCTTTTGTCGCTTTCCCTTTGCTCTTTGGAGGCATCCTCCTGCAAAGTGATACCAGTGCTCCCTCTCAGCAACTGGTGATCACGTACTGGACTTTTGGGGGAGAAAGGGGAGGCAGTGGACTCCAGACATGTGGAGCTGCTGTGCCTCAACCAGGATGGCTGTCCTGCCAGCAGCTGTCCTGGCTGCCAGCACGGACCTCAGTCCCTCAAGATGCAGCAGCTGCCTTCAAGCTAATCCTCGCTGTTGTAGCAACTGTCTGCAATGAAGGCAGTTTGCTATCTGGCCCAAAACCCACCTCCGCCTTGCAGCAGCTGAACATCTCATTCCTGCGACAGAGGTGTGGATTGAATGCGCCCTGTGCCCAGTGCAGCACTGGGGTGGTCCAAAGCTGGCCTCACTCCCCAGCAC